TTAGTTGTCATACATAATCTAATGATTTGCATTCTCAGAAAAAAAAAACAACTGAAGAGGAAGCAAAAACTGATCACCTACAACAAGAAAAGGCTGGATCAGAATTAGTGAATACAGGGTATTTAATTCCCATAATGTTCATTTTCATATTACTTAATAAACATTTTTAATTATTTGAAATTAATTGATTTTCAGAAATCAATCACCTAAGAAAGACACAAGAGAGGTTGAACAACTACAACCAAAAAAGGATGCAGCAGGGTATTTTCAGAAATCAACTAATGTTCATTTTCATATTAGTTGATAAACATTTTTAATCATTTTCAATTTTTAATTTTCAGAAATCAATCAACTGAAGATGAGCCTCCAAAAGAGGCTACAGCAAAGGATCAGCCTACACAACAAGTGAAGGCTATAGCAGAGGATGAGCCTCCAGCAGAGGAAGAGCCTCCAAAAGAGGATGAGCCTCCAGCAGCAGTTGAAGAAACACATTCATACATAATGCAAAAGTATGAACATATATAACTTATTAAATGTTTCTATTCCACATTTACAATATTATTGATCATAAATTATCTGTTGCCAGGAAAAAATTAAAAGTGTCAACTCAAGGAATACTAAAAAAACTGACAAAAAACTGGAAAAATGCTCCTGTTAGCAAGGTCATTGCTGCTAAAAAGGCCCCTGCTACAATTGTTGATACTGCTGGAAAAGCCACTGCTGCTGAAATGGCCCCATCTACAACTACTGAAAAGTCCTCTACTGCAGAAAAATCCCATGCAGCAAGTTCTGCAAATGCACAACAGAAGGCCCCTGCTGAAATTAAAAAAATCCTATTAGGTAATGTACATAATTGTTAAATTAAATATTAAATTTTTTTAATCAATAACACTTATACTGAAAATGTTCATTTACCAATTTTTAAATGATCTAAATGTATAGGTGGTGAAGAAATTGATATTGAGGATGAAACAGAAGAAGAATTGGAAAGACAAGAAGAATTGCAAAGGGATGAGGAGTTGACAAGAATATTGAGAGGTATAAAACCTGTTGAAGAGTTAAATTTGTCTCAAAAGAGTGAAGAATCTTCACAAAATTCAAAGCAACCAAGAAGGAAAATGGTTGCAAGGAAAAATCAAAAGAAAAAAGAATTGGAAGAAAATCAGAAAAAACAGGAATATGAACAATCACCAACAAGAAGAACAAGTAAATCACGAGGTAAATAAAATGTACAATTTCTAATATAACAATGATCATATTAAATAAAATATTACAACTATATTAATATTTATATAACAATGTTTATTTGCAGATGTTAAGTTGCCTGGCATATCAGCTATAGCAACAGCTGCTGCAGCAATTGCTGAAAACCTACCAGCAGCAACAACACCCAAAAAACCTGGGCGTCCAAGGGCTGCAACTGCAGTTGCAGAGAAACCTGTTGAGAAAACAGGGCGTACAAGGGCTGCAGTTATTGGGAAAGCAGGCCAAAAAGGTAAAAGAACATATCTAAAACAATAAATGTTCAATTACAATCTTACACTTTTAAAATGTTTATTTTACTTAATGTAATTAATCAAATAATTAGGTGGTCAGAAAAGACCTGCTACATCAGCTAAAAGTCCTGCAAAAAAAAGAAAAGTCATAGATCAAGTGCCTTATGATGAACCATCAGAGGATGAAGAACAAGAAGAAGTCCCTGCAACAAGTTCTGCTCCTGCAGAAAAGAAAATTCTTAAAAAAGTAGAACAAAAAGGTAATGTACATATTAATAAAGTTAAATGTTCAAATACAAACTAGCAATTTACACTTTCATATATATATGTTCATTTTACATATTATAATTGATCAAATGTTTAGGTGGCCAGAAGAGGCCTTCTGCATCAGCTAAAGGCCCTTTGAAGAAAACAAAAATCATTGAAGAACAATCAAAGGAGGAAAATGAAGAAGATGATAAAAGTAATAATGATAGTGGATCAGACAGTGAGGATCCAGCTTTTGATGCTGAAAAAGAAGAAGATGAAGAAAGTGAGGAAGTGGAAGTAGTTCAAAAAAAGAAAACAACATTGAAAAAACCAAAAGCTGAAGAAAAAAGAATGGTTCTGTATGAGAGGGAACCAATAAAAAAGATTGTGAAGAGGAAAACTGAATTTCCAGTGGCTAAAAAAAAGAAGAGGAGGAAGAAAAGAATGAAGAAGAAGTTGGAAGTTCGACAAGAGGAGGCCATGTCAAATTCATGCATTGTGTTAAGAAAATGAGTGATACACAGAAGAAATTAGTGCATGAAATAGGACTGGGGCCGTTGTTGGATATAGAACTTCCTCAGCTTGACAAACAATTCAGCCATTCGGTTTTAGATAGCTTTGAAGTCAGTAGTTGTAGTTTTGAGCTGCCTAAAGGTGAGAAAATTGAAATTGAGGTGGAGGATGTGAGAATTGTATGAGGTTTGCCAATGGGAGACATTCCAATTGTTGAAGCCAAATCAGACAGAGCAAGTGAAGATTTTGGTGTATTTATAAAAAATTGGAGGTCAAAATGGCAAGGCAAAACACCATCTGTAAACCAAATTATTGCTCAATATACAAGTGATAAATTCAAAAACCAAAGGCCAGCAGAAGAAGATTTTCTCACCAACTTTTTGGTAGTTGCTGTGAATTGTTTGATGAAGTGTATTTCAAACAACCAATGCCATTTCAAGTTTCTGTTTTCTATGATGGACAAAGAAAAAATAAAAAACTTGAATTGGTGTCAGTACGTGTTTGACTCTCTCATCAGTTGCCATGTGACATGGAGAAAGAGTGGAGGAAAAGGATTCTACAATGGACCACTGCAATTTCTGATGGTAAGTTTACAACACACAATAGTAAATTATAAAATGTTCATTTTAATAACAATGAATGTTCATTAACAAAATGTTAAATATCGATTTCGTCTAAAATTTTAATCTTTTATATTAATTGTTCATTTGTATTATATTATATGTTCATTTATAGTAATGGGTTTTGGTGCAGCTGTTCTACTTTGACAGAGTTCAAAGATTGAACAAAAAACAACCAAGAACAATTCCAATAATATCTTGTTGGAAAAGGGATATGCCACTTGAAAGGATAAAAACAGAAAATGATTTGAAATATGGATATGGAAAAGTCCTTCCAAGAATAGAAGAAAAGCCTGCAGACAATCCTAAGGTACAAAATGATCATTTATAAATTATGAAATGTTCAATATCAAAACACATAATGTCTTATATGATTTTTCTTATATGTTCTATAAATGACAGGTCTTTATGAATGAATTTGCATCAATGGTACAAGAAGTTGGTGCATCTTTGGAAAGACTTTCTACCAAATTGGTTAAGGCAAAAGAGCTCTTCCCTGGGAATCAGTTGGTCAAGAAGGTAGATGAAGTGTTGGGAAAGATGGCAAGAGAACAATCAATTCTCAGCCAAGATGAAGAAATATTTAGATCAGAGGATTTTTGAATGCCATAGCTCAAATTGAGAAGGAACTGATGGAGGCAAGTGAAGCAGAAAAAAAGAAAATAGGAAATGAGAAGGAATATGATATAAGGAAGGCATTCAGTTTGGGTTGCAACTTAACTCCCCCAACTCCAACAACTGGTAAATATGCTTAATTAAAAACTGTCATTAATTTGAATATCCTTACTTAAAGAGTATAATATAATTAAAGAATTAAAATTTAATTTATTTGAACACAGAAGCACAGATTAATGTTGCAGCCACAACTTCAACAACAACTGATGCAAATGTTTCTTCTAAGCCAGAAGAGGGTAAAGCTTTAATATCTATGTACAATTATGAAAAGTATAATGTTCATTTATAAAATAATAAGTTTGTTTAGTCTAAATATTCAAAAAAGTATATATTCAGAATAACAAATGTTCATTTACATTAACAATTTCATATATTTTAAATCAACAAAAAGAGTTAGAGGTTCAAATTCTGAAGAACCACAAGATGGAGGAAATTCAAAAAAAGGTAAAAAGTTCACTTATATAGTATTAAATGAACATTTGTGATTGTAAGATATTCTTCTTTAATGATACTAAGTCTATATATGTGTGAATGCAAATTAATACAAAAAGCATTAAACAAAGGTGAAGGTTCAAAATCTGAAGCATTAGAAGAAAATGTTGAAGGAAATTCAAAGAGTGGTACAATGTTCACATATTACAAATAAATGATCAAATTATTAAGTATAATGTTCATTTCTAGTTATATTAAATTTTTTTCATGTATTTTGTTTGCAGCATCTGATTCAAAAGTTGGTGATCCCAAGACACCAACTGAAAATAGGGAAGCTGCTGGAGATATTTCTACAATCTTGAAATCTCCAGCATGTTCAAGTATGGAAGATATCCTTGATAAATCAAACAAGAAAGGAGGAAGCATGGGGTAAACATGGAAGACCTATCTTATTAGAAAATATATAATTTTGAATGGACATGTAGAATAAATTTGGTTATAAAGTGTAATTATTTTGGACAGTTTTTGTTTATGAAGTTAGTAATGGATATGTATTATAAAATCAGAAGGGAATATTTTGCTTTAGGGTAGGAATGCACAATTTAAGATATGTAAATTATGTATTTTAATTTAAATGTTTTAGTAATATTTTAAGTGTTTATTGTTCAAAAAAGGAGAATAATGTTTTTTTATATTAATTACTCTTCATTACTAACCATGATTAATATTTCAGAGAAGACAAGAAGAAACAGATATATGCTTCAAATGTGAAGGAAAGATAAATGATTATTCCACATATACATGTTCTTTTACATTAAACTGAATAATCATTTATACTATATTTATATTCAGTGAGACAAAAAAGGATTCAAAAGAAATTGAAACAGAGAAGATTCAAATTTCCAAAAACACAACAGGACAAAGGTAAATGGTCTTTACATGTGTATAGATTTATAATGTTCATTATCAATATACTAAATGATAATTCATAATTCAATATTTATTCAGTGACAGAGAGAAGACTTTGGAAAGAAAAAAATCAAGAGAAGGTGAGAAGGCAAAAACTGAGATTGCAAAGGAAAAAGAGATAAGGTATTACTATTTGTTCTTTATATAAATTATTTGTTCATTATTAAAAAAATTCATATTTGTATTAATATATGGTCACATTAACTAGGCCACAAAGGGAAATCCCAAATGTTCCTCTTGCTTTCCGATCTCCATACATGGTCAAGTACAAGGATTTGTTCAAAGATGAAGACACAATGAACAAACTTGTAACAGACTATGCTTATAGTGGAAAAGATCAAAGGTATACATCACTTACTTCATTAAAACTTTAACATTATGTTTGTTGTAAACTCATAAAATTTAAAAAATTTATATTTTGCAGTGAGCTACTATACTATGATGGAGTGAATTCGATCAATAGGGAAGAGATGAAAACTCTTGAAGGGGATACATTAGTAGTTAACAATGTGATCGATTCATGGGCAGTACTCCTGAATCAAAAAAGGTCAAAGAACAAGTTATACTTTTCAACATTTCCACATGTAAGTCTTTATTGAAATTACACATGCATACATTGGTGTACTAAAATGATCAATTCACTTATACTAGATGATCATTATGAATATTAAAATGATCTTTGTGCATTATTTGCAGCAAATTATGTATGCAAATACAGTGTGTCCTGAAGGATCATCAATGGAGCTTAGAATTGCATACTTCAAAGAAAGAATAACAAATGAATTGAGGTTATACAAAATCAAGAGTGCAGTTGGATATCAACAGGTATTAATGAACAATATGGAATTATAATATGTTCATTTACATTAATGTGTATATATAATAATATTGTGTACTATGTACAGATTTTTTTTCCAGTGGCCATATATGCACATTTCTATCTTCTATGCATTGATCATATCAATGAGACAATGCATATAATTGACAACAGGAAACTGCCAAAACATCAAACAATTGCAACAAAGTATGAAAACCAACCCCAATTGGTGGTAAGTATATTGTTTAATAGATATATAAATGATCAATTTGTTTATACAAAATGATCAATATTGAAAATTAAAATGATCAATATTAATATGATCCTTTGAATTTTTTTTTCTGTATATGTTGCAGTTAAAAGGATATGCAGAATATTTGAAAGGGTTGGGGTATGAAGATGCAGATTCTATCGAGAAATATAAGGTGGTTTTGCAAAAAATGAAGTGGAGGAGCAACGAAGATTACACCAACTGTGGAGTTTACATTATGAAACATATGGAAACTTTCACTGCTGATCCCAATGAAGAATGGGTTTGTGACCTAAAACCAAACAATGTAAGTAAATTTCAACAAAACAAAAAAATATACTTCATGATCACTTTATAATACATAATGATCATTTATATCCCATTAATGTTCATGTTTATAATAAATTATTTTCTTGGAACAGGTGAACCAAATCAGAAAGCTCAGAGTACAATACACTGCTGAACTAATGCTGAATGAAGGAAACAGGCAGTCACAGAACAATAGAAGAGCAGTAAGAAGATTTGCACAAGCTTAATACAATATGTTCATATATAGACATATATATGATCATACTTGCTTTCAGTATTTGTATGGACATAAGTTTTTGTTGTTGTTCAAGTAAAGACAAAATTTATTATCTTTTTAATATTTACAAATAGTAAAGTGTTACATTATAATTGCCAGTTTTAAATCATCTAATATAATTATTCCAATTTAATAATGGTTCTTACTATTTAAAATAGTATATGATCACTTTCAAAAGCAAAAATAATCATTTATAGAACATTTAAGAATAGTTTGAAAAAATTCAAATTACTTAATAAATCAAAATATAAAAAACTTAAAGCACTTGAATCTCTATAAAGTTGAGACAACTAAAAATGTTGATAGTTAAACACCAAAACATAATTGCATATTGATTTACTCTCTTATTTACCATTTGTAGCCAATCTCTTAGCCACACTAGTATCAAAAAACGCTAATAACCTATCATATTCGGTTGAAATATGTGGAGAACCTCCTTGAGTACTTCTTGAAACAGTAGGAGATCCTTGAACATTCATTGAAACACTAGGAGAAAGTAGAACATTCCTTGAAACACTAGGAGAAACTTGCACATTCCTTGAATTTCCTTGAGTACTTCTTGGAACATTAGGAACATCATGCACATTTCTTGAAATACTAGAATCAACTTGAACATTCCGAAAACAGCCTTGAGTACTTCTTGGAACATTAGAAGGAGCTTGAACTTTCTTCGGAACACTAGAACGAACTTGAACATTTCTTGGAGCTTTTGGAGGATTTTAAACAATGCTAGAAACTTTAGAAGGAGCTTGAGCATTGATTTGAGCATGCACAACTGTGGGAAATTGTACATTTCTTGGTTTCTTTGGTGGCAATTGAGAACTTGTTGGAAAATTATCAACATCATGAGCAATTGCAGCTGTTTTACCCTAATGATCAAAATTAAAATAATTAATGATCAAATTCAAAATTCATAATGACCTTATACAAAATTAAAAGGTAGATGATTAATATTTCACCTTAACAATAGAAGATATGTTTGGATCAACAGTAACGTTTGATTGCATAGAGCTATATCCATATTCCTATAATAAAATGAAAATTATAAAAACATTATAATCACAACTCAAACTACTAAAATGAACAACTACAATTACATACATAATCATTTACATAATGCCTGTTCAAAGTCATTTGAAACACTATCATCTGAAGGGATATCTTCTACAATGGCAGTCTTTTTATTACAAACCTTGAAAAAAAATTAAAAGTAAAAATGTTTAATAGTCTAAAGAATTTGATAAAAACAGATAAAAGAAAAAGAAAATAAGTTTTTACCTGAGCACTTGGATCTTCAATCACAATTAACTCATTAGGATCAGCCAAAGAATTAGCATAAGATATAGGACACCCATTCTCGTCCAATTCCTAAGGCAAAACAAAAATGTTCAATTCTTGAACATAAATGATCAATAACAAAAACATAAATGTGCATTATTACCTGAACTATTGCTTGACCTTTAGATCTTTTATAAGGAGTGTATACTGACTTTTTCTTCAACCACTGACCCCTGGCTTTGTTATAAGCCTTCTCTAAATTACTCTTAGGCCTATAATTCCTCTCTCCAATAGGTCTTGATTTTGCCGGATTCTTAACTTCATGATCAACAATTTCAATACCTTCAACCGGTTCATTAAAATCAATAGTACCAGTAACACTCTCAATCTTTTCTTTTAAAATATTGAAATAACATTCAACCTCTGCTCTAGCATTCAAAGAGTGTTGACAACTTGTTACCAACTTAACAAATTTCCTTAGTGTTTGTGTCCTCCAAACACTTGTAGATACTACATTGGTTTTCATTGTAGGTTCATCAAGGCCATGACTACACATAGCAGCCTTAGTCCACCTCTTACATATATAGTCATCTGGAATCTTATGAACACAATTCATATGATAAATTTGAAGATCATGACAACAAAGCAAACCCATTTCACTAAACAACATGCATGTACAACATATTGCATATGTTTCTTTATTAAAAACAACCTCGTGCTTGATCATATCTTTCCCAGGTCTCCACAAATGATAATAATATTCAGGAAAATTCACACCAGCATCCTTATGATCACAAGCAGTACCCTTAATGAACTCTTCCTAAAAAAGCACATAAGCTTGAATAGTATACAATGATCTAGCATGAACAAGAATCCCAATGTATGCAAAAGCCAAATGACGATTACCTCTGATTGTATTATAATCTCTCCCTTTTTCTTTGCTTCTCCACTCTTGAACCACATCGAGAAACACTTGATAGAAATCACATAGACCTTGTGTCTTGTTAAGCCTTTGAGAAACTGATTTGTTAGTTGTCTCACTACGTTGAGATGAAAGCACACCTCCTGACCAAAATTTCTTTGAAAAAGCTGGACACCACATCTCTTTGATTTTATACAAATCATTCAACCAATCAACATTTGCACAGTCATATTTCAACAACATTCTGTAAATGAAACATGATCATTAAGCATAACAGTTATGATCATTATAAATAAACATTTATAAAAAACTAAATGTTCATTTCTGTAAAAATTATTTAAGAAGCTAAACAAGTATAAAGCAGAAGTACCTTTTCCAATAATGCTCAAATTCCGGTGGAGTTTCACAATACTTCAGTAAATAACCAAATAAATCAGTGAAACCATCCAAAGCTCTCAACGCCCCAATGTGTTTCTTAGAATTTTTTTCAATATGCCACACACATAATCTATGATGAACACCTTTGGGGAAAATATTTCTTATCCCAGCTGCAATTGCTTGAGCTTGATCAGTCATAATAGTAATAGGACTTCTCCTTCCCATAGAAGTTAGAAAAGTATCAAATAACCACTCAAATGATTCTGTTCTTTCATTAAGTATAAATCCCATGCCAAACATCACATTATTTGCATGATGATTCATACCCACAAATGGAGCACAAATCATACCATATTTGTTAGTCCTATAAGTAGTATCAAAAACTAACAAATCACCAAAGTAATGATAATCTCTCATCATCCTTCCATCTCTCCAAAAGAAATTAACCAATGCACCATTTTCATCTTGTTCAAAATCATAATAGAAATCTGCTTCATCAATTTGTCTCTTAGCAAAAAATTTGATTAGTTGATTGTTGTCACCTCCCCCAAGTTTAGCTGTCTTTTCAACAGAAATAGCATTATAAGCATCAGGAGCTGTAAAACAAAGGTTAGGAGACCCTCCAACCTCCTTCTTCAAAGCTCTCAAAGAATCAGAAACTTTAACTCCACTCAATCTAAGTGTAGAAATGAAATTAATATGTTCCTTAGAAATATCCCTTTGAGACCTTATTAAATGTCTCTTGTCAACAGGAATCATTTCATGATTATGAACCATCTCATGTCTTGTACATGTATATACACCTGAACGGTCAATACTAAACTGCACAAAAGCTAAGCAACCAGTCCTTATGTTAAGTCTCTCATACAGCCTATTATTCCTGCACTTATCATCTTTAAAACCCTCATTTGTACAAACAAATCTTTTCATAGAGAATGAATCATCTCTTCGCCTCTTACTTTTTCCAATTCTAATTCCAAAGCCCTTTCTAAATGCATATTCATTAAACATTTCATAAGCCACATCTTCAAAAGGAAATTGTTTCCCATAAAATTCAGAACTAGCTGCTTCCTTAAATAAAATAGCATTCTTTTTTTCCACTGCAATATTAAAATGTAACAAATGAACACAAATAATAGCAATAATGTACAATAACCACATGTAAACTGTTAATGATCATTTATCATTACATAAATGAACATATATCAAAATGATAATAAAACATATAAATGAACATTTATGATTACATAGATAAATGTAAATTACAGTAATTACACCTATGTTAACGTAAATGTACATATAATATAACATACATGAGCATTAATTGAATGTCAAATTTTATAAAACTATAGACAATCATTAAAATGC